TTGCTCCTCCTTACTTCCCAGGCTTTTACTCTGTTAAAGAAGACTTTTCAAACTAATGGCTTCAAATGTATTTATAGACTTTTCCCTTAAATGGGTGATACATTGGCCAAATTTTTACTTCCACAGACTAATTATATATTCAGATAATATGCACTAATGGAAAAATGAGCCAATTTTTTTTTTAAATGGTTTAATGGGAAACAACATATTTGGGACCTCCTATACACTGGTACAAATGCCTTGGAATTCTTTTCCTTTATGGTACAAGAATGTTTGGCCTTTGCTACTCAAAAGGTTTTATGAAATTGGAGTTGGGGACATCAATGATAGGTGGTATGAGATGTAATTCACTTTTGTGCCTCTAGACAAAGTATTGCCATACCCCAAATTTCCATGCTGTACTATTGTAATGATAGGAAGTGAAATATGTAATGACTATTTCATGAAAATGTACTTGATGGAAAGTTTTGAGGATTTAAAATTTGGTTTTAGTGCAGAAGGAAACCAAGATTTTCTTTTTTTTATCACTCAAACACACAGAGAGATGCTTCCTACTCACTCCCAAAAACCTAAATTGTTAGAACACCCACATCTGAATCAAAAAACTCAAACTTCCTGCTTCCTGCGGCACTCTGAGATAGAGGAAAGACTTGAACTTAGGTCCTCTAGATGTCAGTTGAGTATTCTAATTACCTCTCAGCTCTTAATGACAAATTAGATTTTAAGAAACCTTCCCAATGAAAGCCTAATCTAACCAATATGTTTCTGCAAAATGTCTCAGTTTCAAGGAATTATTTTCTGACAAAAAATGGGTTTTTTTTGTGAAAAATTACCAGCCAGCTCTAATAATTGCATTGGATTACCCAAATTCAGTTTACATAGCAATTATTTTTCAAAATCATATCGTAAACCCACAAACTGTTACTTATTCATTTCTTGGTATAGTGCAAACCCCTGTACCTGATTTTTTGAATTGGTTGTTATTTAATCTATTGTTTTGAGTGCTGTAAGTTCACATCACTTGTCAACATGAAAACTGAACTACTTTAAATTGCAATTGGAATTACATGCACTGACTTCATTAGGAGTGTAGGAGACTCAGTCTGTTGTAGAATTTGCACTTCCAAATTCTTCCTGGTTTAAAACCTTTTGTAAATCATTAAAAGTTAAACATAAGGTAGGAAAGGCGGTACCTTAAGTCATTTATATGCATGCTCCAGGAGTGCAGGGAGAGGGTTTTAATCAGAGTGGCTCCAAGAGCTACTCTAATTAAAGCACCTGGAGCATTGTATCAGTGAACCTGCACTTCCAAATGGTGGTGGAGGTGTTTTATCTAAAGCTCGCTCAATGAGCTTTAGATAAAACACTCATGCCACCATTTTGAAGTGTGAAGATGCTTGATACACAAGACACTGGAGGCTGCTGGAGCACTGTAATTGTCACACTCCAGCAGACTTGATTAATCATGTATAGGCACTCACAGAGATTAACTGGCTCAGAGAGACATGAGATTTCATAGACAACAAACTACTTGATAGGATGCTAGGAATGCACCAAAGTAATGGGAATATATGATGGTCTATTAAAACCTTCAGCCATTTTACCTTCCCAGTTGCAGTGGCAGTGATAAAGATTGGTTAATCATTTGTTTATTATAGTTTTATTTTATTCTTTACTTAGTAGAGAATGCTATCTCTCAAGCAAAAAAAAGTAATAACAGTTTTGCAATTCCTGTAAAATTGTGTTGTAGCTGGAGACAATTTCTTAGGCTTCTAAAAAAACTTTCCATTTCAATAGAATTACTTATTTGTTGATAATATTTTGAATCTTTATACTTATTCTCAAATTCGACCCTGAAAGATTAATATCTCCGCTGCAGAACCTTATCTTTGGTGGGAAATTATTAGTTATTCTTCAGAAGTACTTATGATATGTCATCTTTAGGCTAATTCAGAAGATGATTTACCATCCATTCCATTAATTAAGTCAAAGCAATTCCTATATTATGTTTTTTGTCATTGACAAGAAGTACATGTTGGAAATTTGATGTATTTGAGTTAAAATTGAGTAAAGCATAATACAAGGAAAAAAGAAATTTTTTTACAGACTTCTAGCCACTAAAATATTAACACTGAGCAAAAGATATTTTTGAAGTACAAGAAGAAAAGTACATTGCATTTTTAAAATAAAATTTATGGAGAATTTATTTAAAAAGAACATTCAAAAATGGACTTTACTTTTTAAAAAACATTGTTCTTAGATGAGAAAAATCTCTGTAATGGCTTTAAAAAATTGAATTCTACTCACCTGTGATTAAAATGAAATGCCACTATATGTATAGGCATCAGTTGAACACAATATTCTATTGATATATTTATCATTTTAAAGCAATTTGAAAGCCTACTAATGCCTCAATCATTATAATACAATAAATTCTAAATACCTATATATTTTGGCATTTGATTATGTTTCTCTTATTATAGAAAAACAGAGCTCTCCCTGCCCCATTTGCTCACAAGGACCTGGGTCCAGCTGCGGCTTTGCCCTCTACTGCTTTGCAGCACTGAGCAGCCCTAATATGTTGGTGCCCTGCCCCTTCCACTGCCTCTTCAGTTTCATGAAAATATAGCTCAGTTTATTTATAGCGGCTGGAGACTGGCCCATTACATTTACAGAAAACTAATTTCAGCAAGAAAAGAATCTGTGTCTGCCAGATCTATCACTTATCATAAAAAGAGAAATTAACTAATGATAATCCTTTTTTAGTGTTTTTTACAAATTTTCTTTGGGCCATGAAAATATAAAAGCATAAATTAGAAAAAGTGTTAAATAAGGATAATAATCCTTAGAGATTTCCATATTTCAAAACATTTGAAGGAAAAAGTGGAGACATCTCTCCTATTGTACTATTCAATGTCGTTTTGTTTTCATAAAATGCTGTTTTTACACACCACACACACGCACATGCACATGCACACACACGCAAACACATATTTAGTAGTAAATTACTATTCTTGCTTAGATCTGATATGTACTTGGAAATGAGTATTAACTGAATCTGGATAATGAGATAAAATAATCAAATATCTGTAACTGTGTGTATAATCTTCTGCATGATAATTACAGTTTTAAAAGATTGGGTTTTAGGTTACTGTTTCCGGTAGCAACTTGAGTCTGATCTGAAATTAATGAGGCTGTAAGCAAAACTAGGGAATGGTACATAATGCTCTGCATGCATTTGACTTGTAAATATATTTGTAAAATATTTTATTAACAGCAGGTGGCAACCTTTTAAAATTGGATTGCAGCACTACCGTTTTACTTTTAAATTCAGAAATGCAAATAATTTAAGGACTTTTTTAGGGTTGGGACTCGTTTGGTTGAGTATCTGATTATCCAGATTTGTACTAATCCTATCTAAGTGTACTGTGCAACATCTGTATAGGAAAAATCATGTTTTCAGAGAAAATTATCATTTTTTTAGGATCTCAGTATAAATAGATATTTTGAACTGCTTTAAAAGGATGTGCATTATATTAAAATAATACACCATTTTAATCATGTTTTATTTAATTACTTTAATGAAGTTTTATGTAATTACTTTAATGAAGTATTATTACAAATAATTACTCTTTGAACATAACTGTGATTCCCTATTCTATCTCAGAGTCTTATTTTAACATTATTTTATTTTAATATGGTAATATTTTGAGTTCTATTCTTGGGATAGATGTCAGGAGATACGATTTTGCTGGGCTTGATAACATAGGATTCACATCCATTCAGTTCCCCTATTCCTGATCTGAAGAACCCTTGCCATTAAAATCCTGTTTTCCTGAGCTTAGAAGATTACTGCTGATATGTGAAGTGGAATTGTTCAGGTTTTAAATAGACTGTTGGATTTATTGAATCATTACTCTATTAAAAATTGAAAACACATGACTTCCAAGGACTACAACATAAAATCACTAGACCACTTCAACTCTATTTAATTATCTTTAATAATGCATTCTTTAATAATGCATAGTTCTACCTCAAAATAATGCCTCTATACAGAAAGGCAGAGTTGTATACATCTACTGTTTTTCTTAGTGTTTTAGGAGTGCTTCAACTTTGTTCTTACTGAGTTTAGGTAAAACAATTTAAATCACTAAAAAGGCCACATTAACAAGTATTTAAATATATATATACACACATATATATAAAAAGGAAAAAATATGCCCTTTTGACTTCGGCTTCCTTTTATAAAATGATGGTCACATACAGCATTCATTCATGCTGTACATTGCAGTACTGTTCTTTCTTTTCCCCTTATCTTCACTCTATTTGGCGTTTTCCCCAAATGTATTACATAGAGGTCTCTTGTACGGAGAAAAAGGAGGAGACTGAATACATGAATTACAAAAACAGGCCTTATATTTTCAGAACTTATGCATACAGGAATGATTTTCTTGCATCCACCCCTACTGTCCCAATAGTGCAAAAATAAGCAGATGGACCTAGAAAATTTTTTGAGAGACAGTGACAGAGACAGACAGAGAGAACATTTTGGCTTTTGATTGCTTGTTTGCTTTTTCCATTTAGATATTCCTTTTAAAATGGTTCATCTCTCATGCATACATTGTGCTAGGTGATGCCCAACTCCATGAACACAAATCATACTGATGAACGCAGAAGTTACTTGTCAGTATCCAAAGGCAAGACAGCGTGGTGTAACTAAGCGGGGGGTGGGGGACAACGGGAAGCAATCCTGGGAACCCACCTAGGAAGGATGCACAAAAATAGCAGCTCCATTGCTGCCACCAGCAGCTGCTTCTGCCCCGCATGCTGCTGCTCCCCAGAGCACTGAGCTTCCCTGTTATATCTCTGTAAGATCGTATTTATGAACACAGTTCATATGTGATCCTACCTCTTCTAAGTATGATAGCTTAAGGTAATCTGTGTCAGCTAGAAAATATACTTGATTGTATAAAATATCGTTAATGATATTTGCTTCTCACCAGGACACCTCTGTTCACTGCATCTTCTAACCTCTTCACCAGTCCCTTCGCATTGTTGTCCAGTCACAGCAGCACCTTGACAAATCCTTATTCGCCTTTCCCAGCCACCATCACATGATTTGGAACATCCACTCCAGTGTCCCCATTGGTTCCACTGACCGTTAGCTGTTTCGAGGAATGCCATAGTTAGAACGGTGACATACTGTGCCCAACTAAGGATTTTCAGTATTTGTCTGCAAGATTTAGCCTAAGTGTATCTCAAGTAGTAAAAAAGAATCATCAAATACTTATTCTCATACAAGCTGCTCCTATAAAGCTTGAACATAAATATTGTCACTTTTTTTTCTTTCCAAAGACACTTATTAAATGTAATTTTATGAGTATATATGCACTATAAAAATATATTAAAAATCGTAAATCAAAAAATCCTATTTAGAGGCTTGATTATATATTCTCTGTCAATAGAGGATATGTAATAGGCTTGAAGGCCTACAACTAAGCATAAAAATAATTTATTTAAAAAATCAGTTCTTTCATGTATAATTTCTTGTAGATTCTTGAGATCCATTGTTCCATTTCTAGCTCTCAAACTTTTATTCTAAGATTTATAGTTATAAAATAAATGCTTATACTGTAATGCTAAATTCAGGAATGCCAACCTTTTGGTACACAGTCTTTTCAGCTTTATTTGTGCAAATAGTCCTATTGCTTTCAACAGCTATCTTCTACAAACTCCTATGCTGCAGCTGGATTGCTGCAGAAGGACCTCTGGGCCCATATGCATAGTGACCAGGCTGTGTAAAACTCAATATAGGCTCAGTGGCTAAGACCAGAATAGGTTCCAAGATGTCTTTTTAATAAGAAATGAATGTTACACTACCTGGAATTTTTCTCTGGATCATCTCCTATTAGGGGATCCTACTTACCAGTACACTCTGGGTTATGGCACTCCCTGCTTTCAGCCCAGGGGCCTCTGCATTCAGAACCCCCATGAGCAGCTGCTGTACACTGTCGACTTCTCTGCTGAGTGCCATTGGAGCATGTCACTGAGCACTGACTCCATGAACTCCATTCCTGCCAGTGTCCATCAACTATCACAGCAAACATAAAATGACAAAGAAACCCAAATTACCATAGTGTCTATATACTGCCAGGATACTTCACTGTATATGACTTATATCATCTCCCCTTGAAAACTAAGATAGAACCTGCAGCAGAAATGTTAAATATCATGCAATAACAGCTTATATGTCACTGTTCCCTTTTTGTTTAGAGGCCTTACACTTTTTTGTTTAGAGGCTTACTGCACTCTTGATAATTATAAAACTTCACATGAACAAATACAGAAATTCCCATTGAGAAGTATGCCCTATTCAGCACTGGTAAGGCCTTAGTTGGAGTATTGTGTCCAGTTTTGGGTACTGCACTTCAGAAGATGGGAAAAATTAGAAAGAGTTCAGCAGAGAGCAACAAGAATTATTAAAGGTATAAGAAACAGGGTTTCAGAGAAAATGTAGGAAGAACTGGGATTATTTGGTCTGGAAAAGAGAAGATGGGATTTGATAACACTCTTCAAATAACTGAAGGTAGTTATAGAAAAAATGGTAACGGGCTATTTTTTGGCTAAGGAGACAGGACAAGAAATAGTAAATTGCAATAAGGGAGACTTAAGTTGAATATTGGGAAGAATGTTCTATAATGGTGGTTAAGTACTTGAATAGACTGCCTAGAGAGGCTGTAGAATCTCCATCCTTGGATGTTTTTGAGAGGTTAAAAAAAGCACATGGCTGGAATTGTTTAAATAGGAACGATCCTGCCTTGAGTAAGGGGTTGGACTAAAAAACCTTCTGAGGTGCCTCTCAGTCCATTTTTCTATGATTCTATGAAATCATTTTAATGTCTGATATCTTTTTTCCTCCAAAAATAAATGAGACCTCCCTAGTATCACAAAGAATACATTTCATTTCTGTTAACTACCAGTGAGGATATTTGACAAGACTTTCTGCTCCCTTCTGTTATAAATTCCTTGGCCATATTTCTGTGTAGAATAGAGCTCAGGTTCTATAAATATAAGCCCTGATCCTATTGTCAAATACATGCAGATGATCCTTGGCATCAATAGGCCTATTTCAGAGAAGCTTAGGAATGGTCATACTATGACAGGCTGAAGGTTCTTCCAGGATGGGCACAAGTAAGAAATGATCAGTAAGTGATTATTCAAAGGATGCTGAAGAACCTTGCAGAAGGCAGTCATGGAACAATTACTCTATTAGGTTTCATGCTGATCTTTAATACTTAGGAACTGGGTTATTCCATGAGGAACAAGGTTTCATATCTCTTTCCAAATTGTTCTTATGATAAATTATAATTCTGCTGATAATTGGTATCCATATAAATATCCAGTCTGTTTTTTAATCCTGTGATGTTTCTGGGGTCAATGACTTCTTGTGGTAGTAAGTTCCACAGTTTGAATAACATATTGTGTAAAACAATATTTTCTTTAATTGCTTTAGAATTTTACATCTTTGCATTCCATTAAATGTCCCTTTGTTCTTGTGTTACGAGACAGGGAGAACAGGAGTTCCTGATATATTCTTTACAATTTATAATACATTTATGTGTACCTTTCAAGGTAAATAATTTCAGTCATTTTAATCTCTCTCTATGAAAGATTTTTTCCACTCCCTTGGTCAATCCTGTCATTGCTCTGTTAATCCTGGACTTAGACAGACATTTTCTACTAAGAGAGTTGCTGCTGTCCCAGGAGAAACCATGAATGTACAGATATTCAGGCTTTTTCTCCCAGAATAAAAATGGCCACTACAAGAGAAAAATAACCTGGGAAAAACTAAGGTTAAATCACTCCCAGGAGAGTTTCTCCTGAGAGAGTGAATGTCTGCATGTGCTGTGGCTTCTCTGAGAATAATCCCCATTCATAATCCTCTCATAATGTGCTCCAGGGAAATGCAGGCTGACCATGGACAGTCTTTGAAGCCAATCAGGACTGCCCTATGCACTGATGTCACCAGGCAAACTAAGGGAGCCTGGACAACATGCTGAGATGTGAACGCAGTCCCCCTCCTCCTGCCCTTCTCCCAGCTGTCATCACTGCAAGCTCTCCACTCTTCAGAACCTCAGCATTCAAATGTCTTTATATGCAGGTGTGGATAGGTTTCTATACCAGGAGAACAAACCTGGGAGAATTCTGTCAGATGGGCATCAGAGGGACACCAGCCAGCCACTCTGACTTGGTGCAGAGTCACTTGGATGGACTGGATGTGTTTAAGTCAGCAGGCCCAGATAAGCTGCATCCAAGGGTGCTGAAGGAATTGGCCAGTGTCATAGCAGAACCACTGACACAGTTGTCGTGTTGCTTGGGTCGGTCCCAGAGGACTGAAAAAGGGCCAATGGGGTAACAAGGAACAATGGTCACAAACTGACAGAGGGCAGATTTAGGCTGGACATCAGGAAGAACTTCTTCACACTAAGGGTGGCCAGAATTTGGAATGGGCTTCCAAAGGAGGTGGTGCTCTCCCCTACCCTGGAGGTCTTTAAGAGAAGGCTGGATAGGTATCTGGATGGGGTCATCTGACCCCAGAACTCTTTCCTGTCCAGGATAGGGGGTCAGACTCGATGATCTGTTGAAGTCCCTTCTGACCCTAGCACCTATGAATCCATGAATCTGAATGTGTGTACATTCCACAATATCCATTTCATAACATCCATTTGAGATGGAACACAAAACATGGGGCTGCACCTATCCCTCCAGGAATTTCAAATCCAGCCCCCACACCACCCTCCCCCACATTTTTACAGGCAGTTGTATCATACAGTCTTGTTCATGAATTTATCAAGCACCATTTTAAAACTATTTAAATGGGACCAGCAGTGGTGCACACAACACTCTAAATGAAACTGCACATTTAATTTGTATAAATATTTTACTGAGTATGGGTTTTATTGATTTGAAAGCCAGTTTGCTGCAGGAAAGAGCTTGTCAATTACACCACGTATCTTAAAAATATATATCTTTCAAAATCTCATATTAGTAAATATATATAGAAAAATACCAGGAGGATACATTTATAAAGCAGGTGAATCTTCTAAAATGCATTCATTTGTTTTGAAAAATTCTGCCATTATAGTTACAATAATTATTTTTGTGCATACAATTTCCCAATACGAATTTACAAATCAGCTGGTAATAGCTTGGCATTTACTTATTTTCATTCTTTAAAAATCTGGTCTTACAAATATACTTGCAATTAAAAAACAAACAAACAAACAAACAAAGGGATAGAAAAATCAATAATTTGACCAGATGACCCTTGACCTCAGGATTCTGTATTTCTGTTTGAGACAAAAATTGAGGAAATAAAGGAGCTCTTAGGAGGCTTCTCTTTCCTCTCTGCATTTTAGGACTTTATGGTATCAATAGTTACAGACAAAACAGAATTCTTAACTTAGTGATTTAACTTTTAACGAATTTGTTAAAAAAGTAATGTATCTGCAACATCTCAGTGAAACATCCAAGATGAAATATTAATCAGTCAGTCATTTTACAAGGACATCTGAGACACCACAGTTTTCCTTGGTACTTTACATTTAAAATAAATGAAATATTTCAGAGATCAATGAGTTGCAGTTAGTGATGAGTCACAGGGTTTTTTTAAAGTGTTATTTTAAGTGTTCTTTTTAATGCAAGGGTTATGCATCACTTCTATATGCAGGAGACCACTTCAGGCCATGAAGCATAGTATATTGATTACCTGTTCAACAGAAAACTGAAGTCTCTTCAGGCATGGAAATAGGCTTTGTTCATTTATCATGAAACTTTATGCAAAGAAGAAAATATTATGGAAACTATATTTCAATTCTTGCCTTTTTGTTCCCTCCCAGTTTTATCCAGTAATATGCACTGTTGTGGAGGGTAGGGTGAGCCAAATAGTCACTGTGAACTGGAGGTTTAGAAATCAACTCTCCTTTAAAAATCCATGGTAGCTGAAATCGTACCAGGCAAGTCAGATAGCCACTTTATCCAACGGTCTTATCTTATAGTCCTTTTGAAATGAATTTCATTATTTCTCTTTAGTTTCTCATGCAATGCCCTCACTTGCCCTTATTAACCTAAGGCAAACAAACAGTGATTAAATATTCCATATCTGATATACTGAAGGGAACCAGACATGAACACTTCCACTGTAGAACATGGGGCTGGATTTGTAATTTAGTATTAAAATACTGTTCAAGCATATTATGGTTGCTGCTGAGCTTACAGAATCATAGGACAGGAGAGCTAGAGGGGACTTCAGGAGGTCATCTGGTCCAACCCTGTGCTCCAGGCAGGATCAGTATTCTCTCCTAAGTCATGTTTTCTAGACTTCTAATATTTATTTATTTTTGCTTTCCAGTGAATTTTCTATTTTGTCCACATTTTTCTTGAAGTGAGTGCCTGAAATTGGACCCAATACTCCAGGAAAGACATCAGAAATGTTAAACAGAGTGAAAGGGTCACTTTAATTGTCTTGCAAGTGATGCTTCTATTAATACATTCCAGTATGCTATTATTTTGGGGAGGGGTTGCAATAAGAGAACACTATTGGCTTGTATTCAGCTTAACTGTAACATACAGCATGTAATCACAAGTGCCTATTTTAAGGCTACGGGGTTATATCTACAAAGTCCAAATTGGGTTTATTTCTTCACCACAGTCTACAGTATTTGGATACAGAAACATTCTCTGTAAACTGCTGCAACTTACTGAAATCTTTATGGGAATTAATAAAGACATTTTTTTGTAGATTTGTAAGAATTCACAGCCTTTCAGTTGACACTGGCTCAGAAAAGAATACCTGTCAATAGCCACAGACTCTTCTGCATATCTCTCATATAATATTAAACATAGTCTCTCCACAGTATTAAACAAATGATTCAAAGCTATAACATGGGTTGCGTATTCAGAGCTTATTAATGGTATCTTTTTTCCTCTCACACTGCAATACAGCAACCAGAAGAGCAAAGGTCCATAACACCAAGGCTAAGTACCGACAGTTAAAAAGACTGAAGCTGAATTGATTTACTCTTTGCAGGT